AAGTTCTGCTGAGCTGGTTCGATTAATGACGATGCTTTTTATGAAAATACTGGGAGTTGATTAGCAGCTTTTCAACTTGACTAAGCCCATATCAACATGGAGATCTTATGAAAGTCCAATTGATTTGTTTTTCTTTTTCTTTTTTCCGCTCTTTATTGACCAACTGGGATTTCAAATTTTTACATGCTTTGGTGTTAACTTCCGGATTAAATATTTCGGGTTTGAATGTTTTTATCCTGTAGGATGGCAGCCGAGAATCCAGCAAACCCAGGCACTAAGAATCTGTGTAAAACAGCTGCTGAGATTCGTCCATGTAAGTTTCCTACATCTCTCTAGTGGGTTTCATTTGATTTCCAGATCAATATGTCTGAAGTTAGGAAGCTTAAATCTCTCTTTTGGTGTTTCCTGTTGATCTTTAATGACGTAATCTTGTTCAATGTTGTCTATTGAGGGTATCTAATACAAGCCTCTTCAAAGTTGCATAAGTAATCCAAGACTTGTCTGCTTATCAGCCCACTTTGAAGAGTGTTTCATACGTATCAGGCGCTTTAAGTTTCAGTTGGACTTAAAAACCTGAAAGCTACTATCTTGCCATTTGCTGTTCAAGGCAAAGTGGGTTTCTGTCCTGCCCATATTGCACATATTTCCTAGTTGGTCGAATAGTGGCTTTACGTATATAGTATATATGCCTCTTATTCTCACTACTTGAACAATAATGCCTTAAATGCATACACATTCGACTCCTGACAGCTAAATTGGGCATTTGGGCTACTTTTAATTGTGTATTTGACCAAACATGGGAAAGAACTTATAGTTGGGGAATTCAGATACAACTATGTTTCTTGATTTTAAAGAATTCCCTTTTTCACCATATTCTTGGAGAAGATCAGAAATATTGAATGAAGTTTTGTCGTAAATTGCAGGGACATTTGGAAATACATTTTTTTTTTTTTCTCTATTATATAATATGGCAATAATGTGAAAAATGACTTTGGCTTGTTTACGGTTATTGTCCCCCGACCTTTGATCTATCTCGTAAGTTTTGACAAGTAGAGTCAAGTACTTAATAGATAGACTTGATGGGATGAGAACCGGCTGTTTCCATTATCCTTGTATATGAACCGAGACACAACCCAAGTTTGGTTAACATGTATGAAGTTGCATATCTTTTGCTTAACTAAGCTCATTCTGACGGTGTTTTTTGAATACGGACGGCTCATGTGATTGATTGTAATTTGTAGCAGCTGTGTTTTCTTTAGTTAATTTATTTGCAAGT